TAATGAAAATGTAAACATACAGGTGTATACCAAAACAAAGCATGAGATAATCACGCTTAGTAGAAAATGATAGAAAAAGGATAAAAAGCTTAGATGTTGGAAGCAAATTGAAAGAGTCGAATTCTCTCTATATTGAAGGAGGGGGGATAACCCAACAACAAAAAAGGTAAACTTCAAATTGCAATGTTCTGACGCTTATGAAAAGTCTTGGTGATTATAGATAGCTAGCGTACAAATGATAAATCTTTGATCACCTTCATGCACCTTCTCAGTAATTTAAAAAAAAGGGATACATCTCTGGACGTTATTTCCACGACCGTGTTACGAATAAAGTCACCTTTACCTCTCTGCAAAAGTAAGGGAAGTTGACGATTGAAAAGTTATAGTCATCAATAAAGTCATTAATCTGTTGAAACTTTCCACCGTCAAATCATTTGACATCATTTAGCGAACTTCTATACTTTTGTACAAATCTTAGAGTGAAAAGTCAGATGTTTACACATTGTAAGGCAATGAACATGGGAACTGGTTAAAGAAATAATTGACTGATTATATGTTGATTAACGTCCCTTTCGAGAATTTTCCTTTCACTAAAGACACCATCACTTGCCGATGGATATCTACAAGTTTTGTGCTATACTCGGCATAGGCGTCGGAAGAAAATTGAAGGGGGGGGGGATCGTAAACCAAGAAAAAAAAGGTAAACCTTATTTTCAATTCATAGAAAAATGTCTTATTTGCAGAAAAAGTGTTAGGGGCCCTCTGCCCATAGCCCCTGGTTCCGACGCCTATGCTCGGCAATCAGGGCAATTGAGTAGTGAAGGATCTTTTTCGTGCCAGCACCAATTGGTTTGTACTTCGGTTTGTACGGTGTCATTCGATGATCGATCTCCTTGTCCCACTGTGGGATTTAAATCTGCGACGTAAGGATCGACTCCTTACTTGGCGACATACTGCAGAGCAGACGCTCTAACCACTGCGTCAAACGGCATATGTTCAGGAAATGAAGTGAATGTATGAAGTTTGTTAACAAAGATCTTCAGAAAACCGAACGATTCAAATTAACAGGTTTACGAGTTTTTTCCGGATATGATTCTTTAGTATAGCAGAAATCTTGAGTGCATTTACGGCTTAAAGCAATCAAATTTACAGCATGAAATTTATATCAAACATGCAGCCTTTTGAATTCTTTGATGTGACTTTGATTTTGAATCTCAAAGAACACTGCACGTCACGCACGGCTGATGAAAATTTACTAAACCATATCGATTATCTTAGGAGCTCAAATGAAATTGACAACTTTGTGGTTTATATACTTTTTATTTGTCAAAATATTTTTGCCAAAGTAATGTTTGTTTGCAACAGGGGAGATACCATTGCCAAATTTATTGTTCTTTGTACTCAGGAAATATTCCGGTGATCTCCCCTTAACTTTATTTGTGTTAGATATTTATTGTCATTTAATAAATGACAAGTCTCACTCAGTATACATTGTTTGTTATATTTCAACTATTGCGGTAGTCTAGCCAGATCACTAGCGTTACATAAAAATAAATACCCTGTACATGTTATAGCAACCATGAATTTGAAAAAGAATAAAGAAACCAACCAGAGGAATCAATTACATATATTTAATTACAATGGAGGTCATTTTTGTAGTATATGACATATATTTCGTATAAGCAAATTACAAACATACTCGTATATAAAATATTAAGAAGAAAAAAGCTAACATGCGATAATACATTAATGTTGTTAATCCGGAAAAAAAGACTTCTCTTTTTATCACCAATGTTAAAGTAAGAATAAAACTTTTTTTCAATGAAATATAGAAAGACGTCAGAACTTTATTTTTCAACGACAATAAATAAGAAATATTTAATCTGAAAAAGGTGCCAAATAAGTAAACAAAAGCAAATTCCTTTGAAACAGTGTCCTTACTTTACTCAATATCTTGTCAAAGTATCTGCCGGGAATCTTCTCATGAAATTACATCTCATGTTCCCAGATTAAGCTCACCTTAAACTTTGTATTCCCTAGCACATTCTACAAATCGCAATCTTAAATAAAAAGATATATTATTTACAACAAGGTGAGAGAGAAACTTTAATACATGTATTAAACAATCCAGTTTATTTCAGCATTTATCAAGATATATAATTATATTTTTGTCAGAAAATTGAGAGCATTTTTGATGTAATGGAGATAGAGAATGTTGATAGAAATGAACTCCTACAACTGACCGAGGAACAAATGGCTGACGTGGCCAGGTTCTGTAATAAGTACCCTAACATAGAGATGTCATTCGAGGTCAAGGAAAAGGAGAGTCTTCACAGGTATGAGGAGGGGGGAAACTTTGTAATATATGTTTGGATCCTCCAACAATTAGAAAAAAAACAAGATGTGTTTGTGAAACACTATGCGCTCGACAGCAACAAAGTTCGGAAAAAGCTATTTTTAGCATTAAGGTCACAGTCAAGGTCACAAGATGATTGACCTTGGTGGCATTTGGAAGAACCTGATTAGTGGAGTTTACATACCCAGTCTGATGTCTCTATCTTTCATGGTTCAAAAGTTAAGGCGAAGGTTAAATTTTGCAGAAAAAAACTATTTTTAGCATATACAGTGCAGGGAAATAATTTTCTTACAGCATCAATGCTGATTTTGGTGCTTCATATGCTTGCTGATTTTGATGCTTCCTTTGCTTGCTGATTTTGATGCTAGTTATCCTTATCCTGATCCTGGTTTGATCCTTATCCTGATGCTGGTTTGAAACTAGGTCAATGCTAGTAATGCTACCGAAAGTTGGATTATCCTGCAGGAAGTGGATAATTAAAAAAACAGCATCGCTATTTTAAGCCATTAAAATTAATTTTTGGGGTAATTTTTATTTGTAATTTGTATAAAATGACTTTCCTTTATATGTTTCACTTTGGTCAATGCTAGTTCTATCCTTTGCTTGCTGATGCTGATCCAAGTAATGCTGTTTTTTTAAAATGCTGATGCTGATGCTGGTTCTATCCTGATCCTACTTATGCTGATCCTGATGCTGGTTAATGTAACAAAATTAGTTCCCTGCACTGTAGGCCACAGTCATGTTCACAAGGTCATTGACCTTGGTGTCATTTGAAAGAGTTATGGTGAAGGTTAAAGTTTGGGACAAACAAACAAACAAACAGACAGACAGGACAAAAACAATAAATGCCCTGGATCTATCAATCCGGGTGCATAAAACATAAACTATACTCAGTCATGCATGTTATACATATATGTGTAAACAGGCATGATATTAATACCAATGGAATTTTTGACTATCCATTATCTATTTGTTTTCAGTGGTTCCCCGGTCAATGTACTGGTGTCCCTGGAGAGAGAAGATGAATTAGTGGAACCAGTGGTGGCACCATTCTTTCCTCAGGTGGGTGAACAAAAACGAAAAATTATTTAATTTTTTTTTTTGTAATTTCATATTTTGGTAAAAATATCTTTCATTTTCATATGTTTTATTTTTACTTCATGTAAAACTGCTGAAAAAGTAAATTCTTAAGCTGGTGAGAACAAATAATTATTCATCTATTAATGAAATAACAAAAAAAATATTCAAATTTTAAAACCAATATGTTAAACCTAATTTTTTTGTCTTCATTAGAAACGAAAAGAGGGTTGGTGGGTAGTGATTGGAGACAACAAATCTAACTCCCTCCTGTCCATCAGAAGATTGACCTTGCAGCAGAAGGCCAAGGTCAAACTGGACTTTGTGGCCCCCTCTCCTGGTCACTATAACTACACCATCTTCTTTATGAGTGACGCCTACATGGGGTGTGACCAGGAGTACAAATTCAGCATCGACGTGAAAGAAAGAGATAGTGAAAGTGAAAGTGACAGTGATTAGATCAGCTGATTGGAAAGTGAAAGTATTAATGTGATGGGAAAAAAATGAGGAATAAATATGCTTAAAAACAGTACTAAATAGAAAAGTGAAGCAAGGATTCTTTCAAAGTAATAATTGATGAGAGGATTGTAAAGAAATTGAACTCTGAGATGGAAAATCATAATATGGATTTTAGATCAGTTAGCTAAATGAGACAGTTTGAGACTAACCAAAATAAAAACTTATCTGGTTGTTGTCTGTATGTGTTGGTTTTGTGTATTATGTATTTCACTTGGCCATCATTTTCACCATTGTCAGTGTAAGTCAAAATATTTTTAACATTTGTTAGTGATTTTTTACTTGAGAATAATGAGTAAAATTTTTTAAATTAATATCATTTTCACAAAAGAAGCAATGTTATTTTGACAGTTAATCATATTAAACATGTCTCTATTTTCTAAAACAAAATTTAAAGAATACATGTACATACATTTTGTCATTTCATTTGATCATAATCCAAGATTCGAATAAAAGAGTGGTATAAATTAAATCTATGAGTGCTTATATTTTCATGTTTTAAATTGAAGCAAAAGCATGACATGGTTGTATCTTGGACAAGAAATGAGAATTTACACTGTCTTGCAAACTTGAAAACTACATAAATTGTCTATGATCTTATGATTAAAACATGGATTAATTGCATAAATGTGTAATAAAGTATAATTATCCTGTTTAAATGCAGTCCTCCTGAACCTGATAAAAAAATATACCAGAGAGAGAGGGGAGATGAAATTCATGTTCTCAATTAACACACATATATATATGTAGGAAACTTCTGACGATATTAAAATAAAAATTTAAAAGCATAGTTCCTTGTATATGTTTGGATGTATTCTGCATAACAATTATATACAGGTAATGTTTTGTCTAAGATTCATGTACAAAATAATACATGTATTATGTTCCGCTGCTCAGTTAAATCTAAAGAAAATTATATCTTGATATTTTAATGGCATTTATTTGAAGAAAACAACCAAATGTAAATTTCATATGTGATTACAGTGATTAAATATAGATCCCTTTGATAACTTGATTAAAAAATACATTACATACACAAACATAGTTAAAAAAATTAATTAATTAAAAAAAATCTGTGAATCTTGTGAAATTTTTTGATGAATAACAAAAATTACAAACTCTGTTTACATGTACAAATCTAACTACATTTTGATAATTTTCAATGAAGAGCATATTTCATTATACTGTTATTACTGTGTAAAATAATATTTTTGGTATTATTACATTCTACACTCTGTATTTAAACACTTTGACAAGTCCTTTCTGGTATCCCACCCACAGTGTAGACTTGTATAGAGACAGTGAGGATGGAAGGTTCTCATCATTTTCTGTTAGTAAGATCTTCAGGAACTCCCCATCAGGGCTCAGTAGATGGATCTGTTTGTTTTTAATATCAGTAACAAGGATGTTACAGAGGGAGTCACACACTACATCAATTGGTTTAAAGACCTCTGTCAGGTTCTGTCCACGGTAGACAGACTTCATATGACCAGAGGCAGACATTATCATTAGTTCACCTGTAGTGCCACTTTTTAGGTTCACTACACAGATATCACTGTCACTGTTCTGTACGACTCTGAATGGAAATGTAAACAGTCTGGTGTGACCGTCCTCCTGGTACTCATACACATGGATGACATCACCTGTCACTGTGATGTGTCTCACCAGACGTCTGCTGTATAACTCTAATTTGTGAAGACCTAATGCATTGTCTTTCAAGGTGACCAGTAGTCCACCGTCCACTGACAGACAGATTCCTAATGGTCGCAGTGGATCTGTACTGATGACTGTAGATACAGATCCTGATGGTGACAGACAGCTGATGGACTTGTTAATCTCATCAGTGAAATAAACATCACTGTTATCAGTCACACACATGTCAGTAGGAGTGATACTGAATCTATGTTTTTCTTTTATGCCTTGCTGATTAACCTTTTCAATGTATTTTGATGGAAGTTCATTTATGTAGCATTGATCTTCACTGAATGTCTGCAAAATATATATTGATTTATCTCCATATTGAAATGAGTGTTTTTTAGTCAAAACAAAATCATCTAAATCCACGGTTTTTCCAATCACAGATTCAAGTTCTTTATCATTGTATTCACCTCTAGTGAACCTCACTGAATGTTCACATTTTGTGATTTGAACCTCCAATCCAAACAACATTTTTGTCGGTTCTCTGTGGTTGTCAATCAAGCGGTAATCTGACATGGTGCTCTTGTATTCCTCCAAGAATTCCACTTTGTCAATTATTCCTTTTTCTTCTTCTCTAAGTTAGATTTCACATGGTTTAATTGATCATCCTTTTTCACCAAATCGTCTCTAAGTGTTTTCTTATGACATTTTCCGATATTTTTGAGCCTGGTCATTATCTGATCAAAACTCCTCTGTAGCTTTTTAATTTCAGATTCACAAAGTTCTTTATTTTCTGAGATCTGTATTGACATCTTCTCTATCTTCTCATCGATTCCAAGCAGATCCTCTTCCTTGATCTTCTTTAGAAATTTAAGCAGACCTCTCCTCCTTTGAGTGGCTGCCGTGGTTAGAGTTTTCCAATCATGATCTTTATGATCTGTTTTAGCACACCTGGCACAAATGAATTCATCACAGTCTTCACAAATCATATCAATAGGTATATCATGGGATTCACACATTACAATATGTTCCTGAGGAGAGCCCAGTGGATATTTTTTTGCACTAGCAACCATTTTTTGTCGGGTTCACGGGTGTTGTTTATCAGTGATCTCGATTTTAGTGCGCATGTTAAATATAACCATAATGTATATGCACGAATGATATAAGGAATTAAAAAAAAATACTTATATTTTTTTAATATGGCACCTGTATATGCAATGAAATGTAAAAATATAGGTGTATACTATAACTTAAACATGAAATAATCCTTGTAAGTAGAAAATTCGAGAAAGAAATTATGTTTCTTAGTTCAATTTATATGACAAGAAAGTCATTTGTGAAATAGTGTGTAAAGTCTCGTCGGCCATTCTATCATTGAAAAAAAGGGGGATGCTTCTATGAACATCTTGTCCACAATAGCGTTACGGATTTCTAAGTATCTTTGACTTTGATGATAAATGGACACTTTTCACTGATCTCTTATCCCCCCTCCCCAGTGGCGGATCCAGAAGTTCCTTTGGGGTGGTTTTGAGGCCCAAAGGGCCGAAGGGGGAGGGGAAGTCCCCTTTCCGTAGGTGTGGGTTTGTGGGGGCCTTCCCCGAGACATTTTTTAATGGTTCTAAATGGTGCATTTTCAGCATTTTTTAGTACTTTTTGTACCTTTTATAAGACTCAGTAATTACAAAGTTTTAAGAATTTCGAAAATAATGTTTCAATTTAATTTAATTTTTACACAAGACTTGAAACTTTGCGTTCAAAAATGTTAATTCTGACAATGTTAGGAATACATGCAGTTGATTTCAAGTAATCTCAGCAAGATGGCGAAGGGACTAAAATTTTTGGTCTGTTGTCCACTACGAGTCAAACCAAAATTTTTAGTCCCTACGACATCTCGCTGAGATTAGATTTCAAGTTGTCTTCACTTTAAATGCACCTTCAATTAATTTAGTTTTATGTCAAGCTGATTTCAAAGATACAACTGATGTGCAATTTTAAACACTTAAAAGAACATTAAAAATTGAATTCATTTTATAATTGCTAATAAGTGCTTTAAATTTACTTGAGTATACTGTCAGAACATGGGTTCATGTTTATTAAAGTCTTATCACGGCAACAAAATGAAAAAAATGACACTTGCAAAAAAATCAATGAGCGGGATTCCCCCCCCCCGAATCCGTCAAAGCTTCCTCGCCTTCCCCTTCTAAGTAGATGAAAAGTTTGGGTTAAAATGTAAACAATTTATCTAGAATTTACCAACAAACATGAATTTGTTTATTGCTTTATAATTGTGAGGACCATTGTCTGATTTCCTATCACAGAAATGTTTGATATGATACTTTATACAAGGGAGGTTTTGACCCTCATTTGTTTTTTGTCCTTCTTTTGTTTTTAACTCTTTTCGCCCTTTATCGCCCTTCTTGGACGAATTCAAATTTTAATTTTCTTATCATTTTTAGGTATATTTTAATAACATTTTTTCTAGGTGAATTCAAACGATGAGAAAAGGATTTGCAGCCGAAAAGTAGAATAATAACTCGCTGTTACATGAGAAACATGAAACAAAATAACTCAAATAAACATGTTTATGAGAGTCTCCAGAAATGTTTCTATAGGATTGAGGGAATCTTGAGACCAAATTATAGGCTTACAGTGCTAAAAGTTTACAAAATAAATTCATATGTATAGTAATTGATAATCTTGTTTGATATATGACTCTATATTTTGAATCTCAATCTTGACAATGAATGGTTTTCATATGAATCTCAGTCTTAACAATGAATGGTTTTCATATTATAAAGAAACAATGCACCTTAGACTTAACTGATGAAATAGTTCTGATCGAGCGATTGATTATTTAAAGAGCTCGAAATGAAAAAAAAGCAATTTAATGGCCAGAAAGCAACCACAAATTTGAAGAAAGAAATTAAAGAACCAAACGACATCGATATATACATTGTAACACGATCAGGGATATTTAGTCGTACACAGCATATATATGCAGAACATACTAGGAGTTTAAATTTATAATAACATTAGAAGCACAATTTAGAAAATAGAAACACAAACAATCACTGGTATACATTCTTAATTGAAATAAATTTTAACAGGTCGAGGAAACTATTTTCTGTGACGTCGGAATAAATTTACATGCTAAGTGAGGAACCAACGTGACTGACAAATCGACCAATCAACTCAATGAGTTGCATTATGGTCTACTACAAAAATACTACACGTGTGTTTCTAAAAGGCCAATTTTTTAAATAACTCTCGGAAGAACGTGATGCATTTTTCCAAGCATTTTACACACTTAATACAATATGAACATCATTATCTACTGATTCCATGCTCACATTTATATACAAATGATTTACAATGATAAAAATTAGGGTTTTCTCCACTCCATTGTACAAGTCCGTTTGTTGACAGCTTTCCCCGTGCTGTATAGCTGTACTGTCAGTGAAAAGTCAATTTCACGTGACTATTCCTTGGTCCAAAAACAATCAACTCTGAGGTGTGCTCACGTATTGTCAATGTTTATAACGTACACAACTTCGAAATACCGGTATATGCTACTCATGTTCTATGATCAATGTGCATGATGGTTTATATAACAGGTAAATAATAAAAAAATGCAACTTAAGAATCTTTTTTTTATAAGATGCAAGTTTTAATTTCTGGTAACAAATAATTGAGCAACAACTACATAAATTTAACCAGTAACACGGCAAATTAAGGAATATCGAGTTTAAAAACTTGAGTCTTATTTACTAGTGAAGACTTTGTGAGCGGTATTTCAAAGTTCTATTTAACAAGGAAAACTTACTTTGTTTGTTAATGTGAGCATGGGGAATCTTAATAAGTACCCAATCTTCGTATTTTTCATGACAAATTTCAAAAAAATTGTTAGCTGACTTTCCTGCAGTCGTTTGAAATCGCGTCCTAAAATTCCCTGAGCCACGTGTTTGTAGTAAAAATAAACATGTGGTAGACCATCATGTTTTCGGCTCATTCACTGGATTGGACAATTGTTTGCTGTGAGCACCTCTGTGCGCAATCGCAACAATATCGAGAGAGAAGATGAATAAGTGGGACCAGTGGTGGCACCATTCTTTCCTCAGGTGGGTGAACAAAAACGAGAAAATAATTTACACTTTTTAGTTTTTGTAATTTCATATTTTGGTAAAAAATATTTTTAATTTTCATTTGATGTTTTTTTAATCAATGTAAAAATTGCTGTAAAAATGATTTCTTAAGCTGGTGAGAACGGATAATTATTCATCAATTAATAAAATAACACGAAAATGTTAAACAAATCCAAAACATACATTTTAAACTTAAATGTTTTTGTCTTCATCAGAAACGTGAGGAGGGTTGGTGCTTAGTGATTGGAGACAACAAATCTAACTCCCTCCTGTCCATCAATCGATTGTCCTTGCAACAGAAGGCCAAGGTCAAACTGGACTTTGTGGCCCCTTCCCCTGGTCACTATAACTACACCATCTTCTTTATGAATGACGCCTACATGGGATGTGACCAGGAGTACAAGTTCAGCATCGACGTGAAAGAAGGAGATAGTGAAAGTGAAAGTGATTAGATCAGCTAATTAGGAAGTGAAAGTAACAATTGTGGCGTAGGAAACATGAGGGAATAATAAATGAAATAAACAATGTACAGAATAAGAAAATGGAGCAAGGATTCTTTGACATTTTTAGAAGAATAAAGACTTTTGAGATTGGATCATGATAGTTATAAGCAAATATTTTCACTTGTTGCCTACATACGATGGTTTTGTATACATTGTATTACATTGTAAATTTAATTTCGCTGTCAGTGTCACCATTTTCAATTAAAAGATAAAATATTTTCAATATTAGTAGAGACTTTAAAAGCCTCCAATATAATTTTCATGCACAGTGAATTGTTTTGAGTTTAATTCTTTTTATTTCAATGGTATTTTCTTGCCATTATTTTCAACACCAAGTTCATTCATCATTTGCAAGTAAATTCATCATTTGATCATAATATAGTATCCATTAAATGAATGTATGTGTATAGTTGTGACCAGTAGTCCACCGTCCACTGACTGACAGATTCCTCTTGGTAACAGTGGATCTGTACCAATGACTGTACAGACAGATCCTGATGGTGACAGACGGCTGATGGACTTGTTAATATAACCAGTGAAATAAACACCACTTTTATCAGCCACACACATGTCATTAGTAGAAGAGACACTAAATCTTTGTATTTTGGCACCTTCTACGTTAATTTGTTAGACTGATGTTCATTAATGTAACATCGATCTTCACTGAAAGTCTCCAAAGCAAATTTGACTTTATCTCCATATTCAAATGAGTTTTTTAAAGTCACAGCAGTATCATCTTCAGAAAGTCATCATTGCAATTTCACCTCTAGTAAACCTCACTGAATATTCGTCATTCGTCATTTGAACCTCCAATTCATACAACATTTTCTTCAGTTCTCTGTGGTTGTCAATTTAGCTGTAATCTGACATGGTGCTGTTGTTCTCCTCCATGATTTCGAATGTGTCAATTCTTCTCTTCTTCTTGTCTAACTCAGATTTAACAAGATTCAATTGATCATTCTTTTGAACTAAATCGTCTTTCAGCGTTTTGATGGCGTTTTTAGCTCACTTGAGCCTAAGGCTCAAGTGAGCTTTTCTGATCACATTTTGTCCGTCGTCCGTCCTTCTGTCCGTCCGTCCGTCTGTAAACTTTTCATATTTTCGACTTCTTCTCAAGAACCAAAGGGCCAATTTTGACGAATCTTGGTACAAAGCATCCTTGAGTGAAGGGAAGTTTAAATTATTAAAATGATGGACCAAGTTCCCTTACAAGGGGAGATAATCAAGAAAAGACAAAAATAGGGTGGGGTCACTAAAAAATCTTCTTCTCATGAACCACTGGGCCAGGAAAAGTGAAACTTATGTGGAAGCATTCTGGGGTAGTGTATATATTAAATTGTGAAAATCATGAACCCCGGGGTAGGGCGGGGCTGCAATAGGGAATCCAAGTTTGACATAGAAATATATAGAACAAATCTTTAAAAATCT